GACCTTGATGCTGTGGCAGCAGAGTTGTGCTGTCAGCACACTGTAATTAGATCAGTGTCCAGGTTGAACTCTGCCCCTATTTGGGCTGTAATACTGAGGTATTATCAACCAATGCCTCAGTATTACAAACTGAAGATATTAAATAGTCAGTTGCTGAAATCCCAGCTTCCAACGTGCAGTACGAACACTGATGTGATCATGTTCGTTGTCTTTAGACTCAACACAGCAGAGCCACAAAGATTTAAAAAATATACTATGATGCTGTCTTTTTACCTTTTTCTGTTGCTTTTCATGGTAACTTTAACTTAAATTCTCTCGTTTTTCAGTGATGGGCTGAGATTTACCTCCATTCAAAATGACAACAGACAGAAAGTGCATCCTTTGTGAAACCTCCTGCGTTTCCAAGCAGGTAAACAGCCACAAAGTGTTTTTTTACACTATAAATATGTAAATACTACTTCATTTGTTATATTTAGAACTGCTGATTATGCTAGTGGGCGTAAACAACTTGTAAACAAAACAAATATGTTTGTTCAAGATTTTAAATAAAAAAATGTGTTTGTACTGTACAGGACATTGCATACAAATGTACTTATATTATTTAATACACATGTATCTTAATTATAATATACGCAAACATTTTTATACCTATTTTAAACAGGTTTTGTGTGCATCTTTCTATGTACTATTGTTCGCCTCTTTTGCAAGGATGAATAAAACTTTAGGATTTTTTAAAAGATTATCTTTTTTTTATTATTAGTACATTTAAAAATGTCTTCTGATGCCTAAATCAAACATTCTTTAAACAAATTTGCAGGAGATGGAGGAGCACATGAGAAGTATGCTTCACCACCGTGAACTGGAGAAGCTCAAGGGCCGGTGAGTTTTTGGAATAATTCTTCAAATGATAAACTTCTCATATACAGGTCCTTCTCAAAAAATTAGCATATTGTGATAAAGGTCATTATTTTCCATAATGTAATGATAAAAATGAAACTTTCATATATTTCAG